GGTTTATATTCTGAGGAGAGATAAACAAGGTTGTGATCTGAATTACCCAGAGGAGGTCTTGCATTGGCTATATAAGAATCCTTAACATTTGTGTAAAACAAATCCARTGTCTTGTYTYCTCTGGTAGAGCAGCTGACAAACTGTTGAAATGTTGGCAGTGTAGCAGAGAGTGGGGCATGATTAAAATCACCAGATATTGCCATAAATGCTTTGGGGTGTTGTGTCTGTATCTTAGCAACAACAGAACTGATGATATCACATGCATTGTCAGAAACAGCTGAGGGTGGAATGTAAACAGCTGCCAAAATAACACTGGTGAACTCTCTTGGTAAATAATATGGACGAAAACTTACTGCCAAGAGKTCAATGTTTGGACTGCAGTGACAAAAYTTCACAGTAACATGTCCTGGATGACACCATCTGTTGTTGACAAGCACTGCTAATCCACCTCCTTTCTTTTTCCTGCTGCTCTTTAAATCTCTGTTTGCTCGTATAGTCGGGAAGCTTGGCAGAGAGATGTTGGCATCAGGGACATGATCCTGCAGCCATGTCTCAGTGAAACACATAATACTGCATTCCCTATACTCTTGTTGAGTCCTTCACAGGGCTTGAAGTTCATCCAGTTTGTTAGCTAATGATCACACATTGCCCATTAGGATTGATGGAAGTGATGGTTTGAACTTCCTCCTTCTCTCTCATCTCTTTGCTCCAGCTCTGCATCCACGATGCTTCCTTTTCAACTCCTCTGGGATTTGCGGCTTCAGTTGTTGTATTATTTCAGATTTTGTAATATTAATCAGCTGCTCCCTGATGTAAACCACCCTGTTGCTATGGTTACACATCATAACAAAAAGCAAAGTATAAAAAAGGTATTGGCAAAAACCAATCCAGCTGCACAGCACCCAAAACACATTATGTAAATAAACCAAGTATTACAAAGATATGTTACCTTTTGAATTAGTTTATTTTGCTGCATTTAATCATGAATACAATGTAGTGATAATTACAAATTATCAAAAATAAAAAGTGATAATTACACATTATAGCAAAAATAAAAAGAACACATTATGCCTCCTATTATTAGACACAAATAATATTTTGACATCTCTGACTTGCCAAATTTTTAAACCAATTTTCTTTTCATTTTTATCATTTTATCTTCAACTGCTTGCAGTTTTAACTGTCTTGAGTGTTCATAGAATTGGTTTTTACCAGCTTCTAGCCAAGATTCCGACATTTCTGTATATATCAAACATGTCTATGTTTAACTAAAAGAACTTAGAGTAATTAAAGTAGAAAATCGGGGGTTTAGGCTTAAGAGATGAATAAACCAATTGGCGGGCCGAACTTTGGTCACTCGCGGGCTGGATGTGGCCCACGGGCCGCCAGTTGAATAGCCCTGCTACTTTTAGTTTAAAATTTCATTGGCTGTATGTGCAGTCACTCAAATTAAAAGCTAAAATGTGGTGTGGTAGTTGAGAGTCCATTCAAAATGCTCATTCTAGTGCAACAACAGGTGAAATTGCACAATATTGACCAAAATGGTTATGATCCTTTTTTCTTAACACAAGTTTTACAAGCTCTGACATTAAAAGGTGGTGGGCAATATGCACTAGAAGGAAAGCTAGGCCTTCTCTATTATTTTTTTTTTCTCTTTTTTTTGATGAGGGCTAATTTAGTGTCAGTCACAAAAAACTTGGAAACTGAATAACCTTTTACTCTGTAACATAAATGGAAGTTTTTCTAATTGTAACCACAAATCTATGCGTCAAATGGATGAAAAACAGAAAGCATATAAGAAATTTGATTAGTTTATGCCTTTCAAAAATTTTATCATCCCCCCTTCAGTCTGACATCTGTTTAGTCCATTTGTGACTAAGCTTGGTCCACGAGGGCCACTATCCTGCATGTTTTTGTTGTCTCCCTGCTCCARTACACCTGACGCAATGGTTAACTTACCCCTCCAGCATATCCTCAAGTTCTTCAGAAACGTGTTACTTATCCATTTATTCAAATCAGGTGTGTTGGAGTAGAGAAACATGTAAAACATGGAAGATGGTTGCCCTCAGAGACCAGGATGGCAACACAGAGATGTGTGGAAGGCTGCCATTAGGACTGAAGTATTAGAACTAGTATCAATAAATAGCTTCCAGTAAACATATATATATTTTTTCAAACTTTATTCATTTCATGAAAACCAAATTATATGTACAATAAAAAAAGAAATACAAATAAAATGAAATGAATGGCGGCAGAGAGAAGAAAAAATTCTTATAATATCTGCCCCTTTTTTCTCAAGTATAAATTCTAACTATAATAATCTTCAGTTAACAAAACATTGAATCTTTCTAGAACAACAAATTGAATGGCTACCTTTAAAACCATTTTCTGCATCTCCATCATATTATTGTGACTCAGTGCAGTGGTGA